AGTCAGATGAACAGCCAGATGAAGAGGTGCATAGGGCAAGAGTCCCAAATGCTTTAGTCTCCATGGAGCTGGTAGAGCCACCCTCCTGGCACCAATTTAGGAGCTCCCAAATTCCATTGTTTGGGGGTTTTATGGAGGTATAATTGATTAAATCATTGGCCAATGGTGATGTGACCAGTTTAAACCTAGTCTCAAATTTTTGAGTTTTTCTTTTCAATTATCTGTTCATATTTCTAAGTGTTCTATTCGTTTATTTATTTTAAAGAATAGTTTATTTTTTAGAGAGAAACATCGATGTGAAAGCACCCTATCAATTGGCTGCCTCTTGGATGCCCTTTGATGGGGATCAAACCCCACAACCTGGGTATGTGCCCTGACTGGGAATTGAACTCACCTCCTTTTGGTGCATGGATCAATGCAAACAGACTCTGACTCATCTAGGGACCTTAGAAAAGTTAGATTCCCAGCACCCACACCAGCCCTGAATACATTTTTAGGGTGAGGTCCAGACACATGTAGTTTTAAAAGCTCCCCATAGCTACCAGTTTATAGGAAATACAAAGGACAGAGGAACATGTGAAATGACACAATGGGATGCAATCAACAAATTCCAAAACAAAAGGACAAAGGATGTGATTATTTTTTTTTTCCACGAAAAAATTGCAAAGAAAAACTTTCATCAAGACAGCAGAGTAGGGAAACGCTATGCTCACCTCCTCCCAATACTATGGTACTTCAAAATTACAAGTAAACTACAGTACAACCCCCGTGGCCCCCCCCCCCCCCCCCCAACAGCCTGAAGGCTAGCTAAACAGAAGTCCTATATAATTAAGGATATTCAGAGGCCACATTGATTCTGATAAGAGGGTTGGAGGTGCAGAAGGGGCAGGCCCCGCAATCAGTGTGGCACTTAAGAAATGGAGGGGGAAGGAACCCTCGATGGTGGGGGGTGGGGGTATCAGGGCTGCAGGTGCAGGAGGGAGAGGTGCCAGTATCAGGAAGAGAAATCACCATAACTTTTTAAAAAAATATATATTTTATTGATTTTTCACAGAGAGGGAGATAGTTAGAAACATCAATGAGAAATACTGATTAGCCGCCTTCTGCACGACCCCTACTGGGGATGTGCCCATAACCAAGGTACATGCCCTTGACCAGAATTGATCCTGGGACTTTCAGTTCGCAGGCCGATGCTCTATCCACGGAGCCAAAACGGTTTTGGCTCCCCATAACTTCTGGCTGTAAAAACCGGCAGGGATTGTAGCTGAGAGGGCTGCTGGAATCCCAGGTCCTTCTTAAGGGGCTGGTGCACAGATTTACTCAGACTCACCTGCTCTGAATAGAAAATTTGTTAACCTTCTTCCCACCCAGCTTGCATACCTATCAATAACTCCTTTAAATGTAAATGGTTTAAACACTCTAATCAAAAGATTAGTTTCCATTGATATACAAGTGGATAAAGAAAAGATGGTCAGCACTAACTGGTTTGGCTCAGTGGTTGGAGCCTTAGACTAAAGAGTCCTGGGTTCAATTCCAATCAAGGGCACATACTTTGCTTGCAGGCTCCATCTCCAGCCCTAGTTGGGAAGCAGGAGTTGGAAGTGCAGGAGGCAATCAGTTGATGTTTCTTTCTCCCTGCCATTCTGTCTAAAAGTCAATAGAGGTCGACTGGTGTGGCTCAGTGGTTGAGTGTCAACGTATGGACTAGGAGATCACGGTTCAATTCCCAGTCAGGCCATATGCCTGGGTTGCAAGCTCGATTCCCAGTTTGGGGCATGCAGGAGGCAGCCAATCAATGATTCTCTCTCATCATTAAAGTTTCTATCTCTCTCCCTCTCCCTTCCACTCTAAAATCAATACAAATATTTTTTTAAAAAATCAATGGAAAAAGCCGAAACCGGTTTGGCTCAGTGGATAGAGCATCAGCCTGTGGACTGAGGGGTCCCAGGTTCGATTCTGGTCAAGGGCATGTGCCTTGGTTGCAGGCACATCCCCGGGGTGGGGGGTATGTGTGTGTGCAGGAGGCAGCTTGTCGATATTTCTCTCTCATCGATGTTTCTAGTTCTCTATTCCTCTCCCTTCCTCTCTGTAAAAAAATCAATAAAATATGGGAATAAAAAAAAATCAATGGAAAAAATATTCTTGGGTCAGGATTAAAAAAAAAAAAAAAAAAAGGTACATGATACAGTGGAGTATTACCCAGCTATAAAATAATGAAATCTTGCCATTTGTGATAACTTGGTGGACGTAGAAGGTATTATGCTAAGTGACACAAGTCAATCAAGAGAAAGACAAGTACCATATAATTTCACTTATATGTGAAATCTAAAAAACAAAATAAATGAACAGTCACAGGTAGAGGGAATATTATAACTAGTTACCCACTCTGCTGTCTTGATGAAAAGTTTTTCCTTGCAATTTATTCATGAAAAAAAAAATCACACCCTTTGTTCTTTAGTTTTGTTTTGGAATTTGCTGATCGAATCCCATTGTGTCATTTCACATGTTCCTCTGTCCCTTGTTTTTCCTATAACAATTTGGGAATTAATTATTACAACCTTGTAATAACTATGGTATCAGATGGGTACTAGACTTATTGGGGTGATCATTCTAAGTTATATAAATGTCTAATCACTATGTTGAACATTTGAAACTAATATAATAATGCATGTCATTTGCAATTAAAAATTCTACTCTCATTGCTTATGCAGGGGGCACCTCTTATTGCCAAGTTGTTTCTCTACTGAAAAATGGGAGAAATGGAATCTTTTGTCTAACCAAGTGGACTAGGCAAAGTCAGCCTGAGAGTCTGTTGTAAATGACCATTGCTAGAAGAAAACAATCTACCTTGAGAATCCAGTGCCATCACGCACTACCCATTCCTTCTTTCTGGTGAATGCTGACTTCACGCAGGCAGGCAGGCACCATCGGACTCATTTTCCCATGTGCCGAGGACTTGGAACTGTAGCGGTTTCTTGAATGCATCAAATGAGTGTAGATCCATGACATGTCCCCAAATCAGTAACATCTGGGTGGTGACCAACATCTTAACTGAGAAGTATGTTTGTTAAATGTGCAAGGCCCTTTAAGAGCCTAAGACACAGGACTGTCATAGCTGCCAAACTCGAGTAACTCCACGTTCTTGATTTTTGACAAGTTCCGACTACGGACAGCATAGTCTTTTACCTCCCCAACACCTCAGACCCACAATTCCTCACGTCAAACTGTGCTTCCAGCTTCAATGTGCCGTTACCTTGTTTTCTGGTGTGCAGGCAGCCTCCTGGTTCTCGTGCCCTGTGAACCTTCTCTTGAGTGTGGACTGTGACTGGCTTCTAACAAAACAGAGTATGGGAAAGCGGGGGAATGTCATTCGAGATTAATTTACGAAAGGCTCTGGCTTCCATCTTGCTCTCTGATGGAAGCCACCTGCCATGCTGAGGCCCACAGGCCGAGGAACAGAGGTAGGGCTCTGACCAATAGCTAGTGGGAAACTGAGGCCTCCATCCGGCACGCCACAGGAACTGAGTCCTGCCCCAAACAGGCCGAGTGGTTTGGAAAACCTGTCGAGCCCTGAGATGACTGCACCCTGGCCAACACCTTGATCTCAGGCGAGAGGCTGAGCCCGAGGAGCCAGCAAAGTCAAAGCCATCATCGCCACTGACAGAAACTCTGAGACTGAAAATGTTTGTTTCAAGCTGCTCCGTTTTAAGGTAATTTTTTTAAACCCAGCGATAGAGAGCCAATGCACCTGGGACCAATGAGGCATTACTGCATCACAGCCTGAAAACTGTCTAGCAGTTACACCTTGGACAAGTTACTTAACCTACGAGGGCTTTAGTTTAAGGTGACCAGATGTCCCGATTTCCAACAATTTGTCCCGCGGCGTTTTAAAAAACCGAGGGACGAGGGACAAATTGTTAAAAATCGGGACTGTCCCGCCAAAAGTGGGATGTCTGGTCACCTTACAGTTCCAGATAAAAGTTCCTTATCTTCAAATGGGAAGAGCCTGCCCCACCTAATGGATTAGGAAGGCATCTGTTCACAGACAAAAACTGCTTGATATGAATACCAACATATAAAATTTGGTCAAGGAGCAGTTTCAATTGAACTTTTCATAATTTATATTTCCCTACATCAAAAACATGTTCAACCAGGAAAAAGAAAGGCCACATTCAAAATCAGGTAAAACCGTGCTCTCCTTTTAATTCATGTTTCCTTCTTGGTCGCTACTTTGGTAACAAGTAGGTCCCCACCTCTCAAGAATATTGCATCTGAACAGGCCGAGCCAGAGCCAGTGCGAACACGGGCCCCAACCAGTGCTTCTGGAATAACAAGAACAGCAAAACCAGCTTCTTCTTTTTAGAAAGTGTCTGTGAGTTGGAGGGTCCAAAGCTCCACTCTCTAGAAAGAAAACCTGGGGCTCAGTATAAAAAAGGAAAACCAAAATGTATCAGAAATGAAGCATAATACCTCCTATACACAAGGTCAAGATGGTTCTTGAGAAATAAGCATCTGATTATCTGGCCTCTTGTATTAGGAATGGCCCCATTCCAGCATGTTTAAAGGAAGATTTTTTTTTTTAAATTTCTACTTCATTTCCCAAACGGGTGTAAAATCTACCAAAATGGAGATAATGAATCAGAATAATAAATCAGCTCACTCGCAAGACACACTCCTAGATAATGATTTTTAGTTGCTGAGAGTATCCAGCACATTATTTCAAAGTGGCAAACTTAGAGGTAATCTCAGAGGAGAATTCGAAAGGAGCAGCCACAGTCACTGGTAGAGTTATGTGAGAAACACAGACATATTACCCCATGTTATTCAGTGTATATGTCAAGGGGCCCAAACCCCCGATCATCAAAATAAGTTATTTTGTACATTACAGTGCACAGAACCATGGAGGGAAAGACTCATGGAGAGTGACTGAAAGGCGTTTGCAGAAGGTTCACGTCACTCTGAGCGGGAGGCCCGGAGCCAGGGCTGCGGCGCGGCCTTCATTAGCTTGAACCCTTCTCTTCTTTGGCTGCGGTGGCCTCGGCGGCAGCTGCCTTTTCTAAACGTTCTGCTGGCTTCTTCTCTTCCTCCTCCTCCTCCTCCTCCTCCTCCTCATCCTGGGGATAGAGGTCTGGGTACTTCTGCATGCATTCCTGCATGGCCCGGAACTGGTCTACACAGTCTGACCCCTTGAGATCCTCCGTGCTGTAGTGGAAGCAGGAAAAGGCTGACTTGAACTGTTCCCCACAGGGGCCGCTAGCCATGCCCCCAAGGCACGGGCAGTTCCAGTTGATTTCTCCGTTGGGCAGGATCAATCCTGGAACAGGAAGGCGGGTAAGGAGAAGGTGAGAGATGCTCTTGAAGGTTTCAGAACAAGCAAAACCAAGTCCTGTCCTTCCAGGCCACTTAAGAGCTGAACAGTATGAATGGTGGCCTGGCAGGCACTTGCCTGGGGCAAATCCAGCCATCCTGGCTCAGCTGGAAGAAAGCCACCATCAGCTGCTTTCTCCATGTGCAACCCTAACCTACATGCTAAGCCCCGCCCCCTACAGTGGCTGTGCTCTAAGAACTGCCGATTGGAATCCATTCACGTAGTCCAAAGGAGAAGCCATCACCTGATGGTTAATGAGAACCTTTGGAAACATCAACACTTTCACACGCCGAGGCCAAAGCTGACTTCCTCCTTCCAATCTCTGCTCCCCGCCCACGGGCGCTGCTCCTCCAGCCCCCCTGGCTCTGTGGCTGCTCTCGGAAGTCACACACAGCGTGGGGACTGGTAAAAACCGGAGTCTGAACCTTCTGAGCTGACTGGGAAGATGTCCAAGACATGTTTTACAAGGAAAAGGCTAGTGGCATACTAAAGTGGTGTGACTCCATTCTTATAGAAACGAGAAGCTTAGAGGGAGATTAACTACATTAACCAAATTATTGCATTGTATATGTGTTGGGGAGAGTTTGAGGTTTCAGACAGATTTTCACTTAACTTTTTAACTTTTACATTTTTTCTTGTCTTTGTACTTTGTCCACATCTAAATAGTATTTCCTAGTTTTCCAAAATGCTTTCAAGATGATGGCTTAACTTCAGCTTTGTGACAGACATGGACAGAAATATGATTCATATAGAATTCTCTTAGATAAGTTGACTACAGAGACTGAGAGCACTCTTTAAGAAAGACTTGCTCAGCTGGTGTGGCTCAGTGGTTGAGCGTTGACCTATGAATCAGGAGGTCACAGTTCAATTCCCAGACAGGGTACATGTCGGGTTGTGCTCTCAATCCCCAGTAGGAGGTGTGTGGGAGGCAGCTGATCGATGATTCTCTCTCATCATTGATATATTTATCTGTCTCCCCTTCTCTAAAATTAATATATATTAAAAAAAAAAAAAAAAAAGACTCTTAAGTACCCAGTGAAATCACCCATGATTTTTCACCCCAGGGAAATACTCAGGTCTGATACTACTAGCTGGTGCTCTGAGCTAGTGTCCGAAGTTCTAGGCCCAAGCTGGACCCTGTCTCTTAATTCTACCTTAGAAACCTCAGTGATCAACAAATCTGCTGCGGTGGCTCCTCACTACCCTATTTCCCCGAAAAAAAGACAGTGTCTTTATTAATTTTTTCTCCCAAAGTTGCTCTAGGTCTTATTTTCAGGGGATGTCTTATCTTTCTATGCCCTAGGTCTTATTTTTGGAGGCTGTCTTATTTTCGGGGAAACACAGTAGTAAACAGGCTAACAGTAGGGATGGCAATGAGACTGGCAGGCAGTTCACCACTGGCACCAACAACAGCTGCAATGCACATTTTTGTGCATGAAGTTGTATGTGGTAAATCACTTAATCCTTTGGTAGCCTCTGCAGTGGGTGTTTATAATTCTAGTTTACACATGAGGTTTCTGGGGTTCAGTGGAGTCTAAGTCAGGACTACAACGAGGGCCCTTAGAGTCCCAGAGACCATGCTCTTTGCTCCACATGTCAGCGCTGGAAGCATATATACAAATGCTGCCCCCTGGATGCTCAACAATGCTAACACACCTGCACAAACAGTTTACAAAAGAAATATATCATAATGCTAACATTAAAAGTAATAGTTCATCCGAAGCTGGTTTGGCTGTGGACTGGGGTGTCCTGCGTTCGATTCCGGTCAAGGGCATGTATCTTGGTTGCGGCCGCATCCCCAGTGGGGGGTGTGCAGGAGGCAGCTGATCCATGTTTCTCTCTCATTGATGTTTCTAACTTTCTATTCCTCTCTGTAAAAAATTAATAAAATATATTAAAAAAAAAAAAAAAAGTAATAGTTCAGCCCCGCTGGTTTAGCTCAATGGTTGAGCGTCAACCTATGAATCAGGTCAGGGTTTGATTCCTGTTCAGGGCACATGCCCGGGTCGTAGGCTCGATCCCGTGTGAGTGTGCAGGAGGCAGCCGATCGATGATTTTCTTTCATCATTGGTGTTTCTCTCTCTCTCGTAATAGTTCAGGCCCTGGCTGGTTAGCTCATTTGGGTAGGGTGTCGTCTCGGTATGCCATGGCTGTGGGTTTGATCCCTGGTCAGGGCACATACAAGAAACAACCAATGATGCATAGATAAGTGGTACAACAGCCGCAGAAACCAGTTTGGCTCAGTGGTAGAGCGTCGGTCTGCGGACTGAAAGGTCCCTGGTTCGATTCCAGTCAAGGGCATGTACCTTGGTTGTGAGCACATCCCCGGTAGGGGGTGTGCAAGAGGCAACTGGTCGATATTTCTCTCTCATCAATGTTTCTAACTCTCTATCCCTCTCTTTCTCTCTGTAAAAAATCAATAAAATTTATTAAAAAAAAAAAGTGGTACAACAAATTGGCATTTCTCTCTCTGTCTCCTTTCCTCTCTTTCTCTCTAGTTAACTTAAAAAAGGACTATTACTGTTCTTAAAAAAAAAAAAAAAAAAAAAAAAAAAAAAAGCAATAATGAGGTCTTAGCAGTCCTTGTACCACTGTTTATCAGAAGATTAAGCTAGAATGCATTAGTTCTTCACAGAGGGCATTATGAAGCCAATATGCACTCCAGGGAAACACTGCAAAAATCATCACTGGTAGCTTCAGCATGTTAAGTTAAGCGCAGATGCAGCATGTTTTAAAACTAGTAATTTTGCAACTGAGAACTCAGAACCTGGGTCCCAGAGTTCTGTTTTATATACCTCCTCACACAATTATTCACAAGGGGTTGCAAAGGCAAATACCTATAGTGTTCAAGCAGGTATACCGTACATGACAAGCAGGTAGGAGGAAAAAAACAAGTGTATGGTGAAGAAATATATCATAATGCTAACATTAAAAGTAATAGTTCAGGAAATAGGGGAATGCACAATCTAAAGACAGACACATTCAGTTTTTATAAAAACACTATGAATCGCTTCTCGGCCTTTTGGCTAAGATTAAGTGTAGTATCTGTTCTTATCAGTTTAAAAACACTATGAGGCAGACAAAACAATACCTGATTTATCCTGCAGGCCTCACAGAGTCTCAATCAATTAAAGAAACATACTTAATTAATATGGATCTAAAGATAGGCAATGGACTAGAATTTATGTGTGACTTACTTTTCTTTGTAAGATTACGAGTGACCCGGTGCACGAAATTTGTGCACATTAAAGGGAATTAATTAGAGGAAATATTTTAATAGTGCTATTTGGTCCCATTCTCTATAACAGAAGTGTCAGAGATGAAAGAAAATTAGTAAAATGTATATTAAAATCTTCCTTATGTCAGAGTCTGGGCTGAACCATGGGAACCATGCCCACCCACATGCGCTTCAAAATCATGTGAGACTCAGACTCGGCCTGTCCCACTCACATTGGGCTAGATCCAGACCCGGCTGGCTCCACCCCCAAGCCCCACTGGGTGGGGGGTGTGGCCTCAGGGGTCTCCTGGCCCCACGCCAGGGCAGGGGGCATAGCCTAAGGTCCCCCAGCTTGGGCCAGGAGCACGCCTTGAGGTTCCTGTCAAACCCTGCTGGGCAGGAGATGTAACCTCAGGTCCCCCATCAAGCCCCGCTGGACAGCGGTAGGCTGCAGCCTAAGGTCCCCTATCAAGCCCACCAGCCCGGGGAGTGGTGGGGCGGGGGGGCAGGGCAGTGGCACAGCCATCTTGTTTATGGAATCCCTGCCTCTGCTGTTGGTGCAGCCATTTGTTATTTTGCATATCCCCGCTTCATTATAGAGGATGATTTAAGATCACTCCTATAGCTGAGATTCTCAGAAATCTAACACTTTGTATGTTTGCACTTCCCACTGTCCCTTTAAGGTGCCAGATAACGCCTACTGAGCTTTCCTCTAATCCCTAGGAGCAGCCAGGGTAGTAAACAGTGTCCTACCTAAGAACATACACTTTATTCTTAGCATTTGAAAAATTCCAACCAGGGGCCCATACTCTACAGGCAGCTCCTTCAAGCTCTTTCAACCTTATGTATCACCAATCAATACTAAAGGCTTGTTTGTTATCACCCGGGATGTCAGAAAAGGCTTTAGATTGGTGGAGTGAGTACTGTTTATGAAACTTGGACTATGTAAGAATATTGCACCTACACAGCTGCCGTACACAGGCTGGCTAAGTCCTAGAGTCCAACGGTTCAAGTCTTTGGAGTGATACCCAAGTGACCATTAACTGAGTTGTGTGTAACTAGTTAGCTGAGTTCTGCTGCTAGAACACTGCCCCTCTATCTCAAGTGAGCTGTTCTGGCAAGGTGCTTGCTGGGGAACCCACAAGGAGAAAGTACCTCACAGAACAAGGTGTGTGGCTATAACTAGTAGGTACCTGCTTGCTAATAGTTTGCAGATGTGGCAGAATTCAGCATGTTTGAGCAGGGGGATTCCTGTCACCTTAACCTACCTGGAACTGCTAACATCCACTGACACCCTTCCCCCAAACACAGTCACTGGGAAGCATCCAACTAGCAGCTTAAGCCAATGCAAAAACTAAGAAAAAGAGGCAGAAGACTTCAGTAAGGAGAAAAATCTTAGATTTTAGTCTAATGGCCAGGGAAGTGCATCAGAACAAGGGCCCAAAACAGCCCCTTACAATTCTGAGGGAGATGAACCCACTGTCCTGAGAGATGGTCCATGGCTGAGATGCATATCTGCCGTGGCTGGGGCAAAATGGGAGAACATGTTTGAACACTGAACTTTTCCCTCAGTGCACGTCCCTGGGCCCCTGGGAGGCCCCACACCACTCACCATGCTCCTCGTATGGATCATTGGGGTCATCAGCCACCAGCTCTGCATTGCTTGGAGTTTCATGGTCTTCTTTGGTCACAAATATAATTCGATCCTTCCCTAGTGTTCAGAGGGCAGAGAAGAAATTTTCACTCAAGAGCAGGGAAATCAGCCCTACATCCAAAACAGGCAAGCACACCACATTTGAAGAATGTCCCAAGTGAAACCCTAAAGTCAGGTGACCATCGAACTGCCTCCCTGGGCTGAGTCACTGACTGCATGATGCCGGTTTAGCAGCTGCTTTTACTGAGTACCGGAGGCTGGAACGAAAATTCCACCAAGGTCTTGGGGGTGAGGATGATGCCAGCAAACCCTGCCCACCATAGGTATCCTCCACGTGGGAGATGAGATGCCCCAATCCTACCAAATGCAGCTGCTTTTAGTCCCCAAATTGGCTGACATTCCAGGGGTGCAACACATCTTTCTTCTTCCCGTCAAGAAAGGAGCAGTCTAACTGTCCATGTTATTTCCCATCAGCCTGTGAGCCCTCCTCTACTTCAATGTTGTCCACATCTAAATAGCATCTCCCTCTCCTCCCAGACCGTGCAGGGACCCGTGAGCAGTCGGGACTCAGATAATACTGGCATGATGACGGCTTACTAGCCCAGGGATGCTGGGAGTGCCTACTGCTGTGCACCCCGCCTGACACACAAGCTGCTGTCTCTGTGCTGGGTGTAAGGTGTGAGTGGGTGGAGCACGAGGGACAGAAAAAAAGCCAAAGAAAAAGAAGAGGGTTCAAGATGATGATATAGAAAGAGTCTGAACTCTCCTTCCTCCATGGACAAACTGAATCTAGAGGTTCATGTGATACAATTTCCTTCTTAAAAAACCTAGGCTGGAAAACAAAAACAAACCTAGGCTGACCTAGCCAGTTTGGCTCAGTAGATAGAGTGTCGGCCTGCGGACTAAAGGCTCGATTCCGGTCAAGGGCACATGCTGGGTTGCGGGCTCGATAGGGGTTGTGCAGGAGGGAGCTGATCAATGATTTTCTCTCATCATTGACGTTTCTATCTCTCTCTCCCTTCCTCTCTGAAAAAAAAGAAAAAAAGAAATATATTTTCAATAAAAATATACTAAAATAAACACACACCAAAAAACCTAGGCTAGCTGGTGACAACTGCACATTGGGCAAAGAGAAGAAAATTACATCTAGGTGAGCAGGAGAGGCAGAGAGGCCTTGACACAATCTCGCCATCAGTCCTGCCCCCATCACAGTGACCCACAACAGGAAGAACTCAAAACTCAGAGTTTCTCCTGGAGGAGCAAAGGGATGGAACCCCACTCTGAGCATCCCAGCTTTTAAGACACACACTTGAGAGATGAGCCCTCCAACATTTAACTTTGAAACCAACAGGGCTCACTCATGTCCCGAGACCCTTAAGATTATAGTGATCTGAGAAACTAGTCTCTTAAAAAAAAACTTAGAAAAAAAAAACATTTTTAATTGATTTCAGAGGAAGGGAGAGGGAGAGACAGAGAGAAAAACATCAATGATGTCAGAGCATCATTGATCGGCTGGCTTCTGTACATCTCCTACTAGGGATTGAACCTGCAACCTGGGCATGTGCCCTGACCCAGAATGGAACTCTGACCTCCTGGGTCATGGGTCAATGCTTAACCACTGAGCCACATCTGCCAGGCTGAGAAACTATTTTTAAAGGGCCCACCCCAGGGCTCAGCTAAGAGGCAGCTGATCACACCCAGACTTACAGCGAAGGAGGTACACCTACTTATATTAAACTGTTGGGCTGAGGCATCTAATTTACACACACATCTGTGACAATCTGCAGCTTGTTGTTTTTTTTAGAACAATCACCCAACCCAAACATAACAGGGTAGGCAACAGAGCCAGACTGATGCTCTCCAAAAACCAAAAAACCAGATCATGAAGATACCTTAGTCAGGGCCAGAACCCCTAGCCCCATGAACCTGGCTGTCAGAGGGCCTGAGCCTCCAGGAAAGCAAACTGGTAGGAGCCAAATGCATTAAAAAGAAAGAAAGAAAGAAAAAAAAGATAAAAAAGAAAAAAAGTTTTTAAAATTGATTTTTAGAGCGAGAAAGGGAGAGGGACACAGAGAGAGAAACATGGATGAGAGAGAAACATCATCGATCGGTTGCTCTCCCCACATACCCCCCACAGTGGATTGATCCCACAACCTGGGCATGTGCCCTGACTTCGAACCGGCGGCCTCGTGTCCTGAGTGTATGCTCAACTGCTGAGCTACACCGGCCGGGTCAAATGCATTTTATATGAGATTCTTCTCATGGGAAGCACAGAAAAGGGAATCAGCGTTGAAGGAACCAGGATGGGTGTATTCCATGGCTCACTTCAACTAACCTTTCGGTGAACCTATAAAGTTTTATGGCCCTGATTTTACAGCATAAAAAGCAAAGCCCGGAGGGGTGACTCAAAATCAACCAGCAAGGCAGGGACCTCACCTACTGGACTCTCTCCTCTATGCCTTCTAGCTGCTGGTACTTGGTTTCATTTCCTAAAACCTGTGGCTGTCGGCTAACTACTGTGTTTCCCCGAAAATAAGACATCCTCCGAAAATAAGACCTACTTACAGGTTTCCTTCTGAGTGAAATATAAAGCATCCCCCCGAAAATAAGGCCCCCCTAGGCTCTGTCTCAGAATGCTATTGCTAAACATGAGAGATTTGGTCCACTGATTCTGAAAGAAATGGAGTCACAAGAAATTCACCAGGAAATTCAGAATTGGATTGTTATGATGATGTTCCAGAAGATGACATGATTGTCATTGAATAAAGGAGTAAATTCTTGATACTGTAGGATTCGCAGTTTGTCTGGTTTGTGTTGACAACTACCATACTACCGTACCGTATACAGGTAATAAATTTCCTTTATTTTCATTTAACAATAAATGTGTATCGTATTCTTCTTCATGGAAAAATAAGACATCTCCTGAAAATAAGACCTAGTGCATCTTTGGGAGCAAAAATTAATATAAGACACTGTCTTATTTTCGGGGAAACACGGTACACAGCAGGCCTCTCTCCGATATTCCCATGGCAAGTGGGGAGTACCTTCTCCTTAGAGCCACACACGCTGCATGGTCATCAGCTGGCCCTGCAGTCTCTGGAGGGCTGACCCCTCTGGGTTTTGCATGTCAGCTAGCTTCTGCCATTTTGTCATTACCCTCACAGGAGACAGCAGGAGCCCCATTAAAAAACAAAACAACCCCCCCCCCAAAAAAAAAAAAAAAACCAATATATTTTTATTGATTTCAGGGAAGAAGGAAGAGGGAGAGAGAGAAACATAAATGATGAGGGAGAATCATTGATTGGCTCCCTCCTGCATGCCCCCTACTGGGGGCATGTGCCCTTGATCAGAATTATACCTGGACCCTTCAGTCTGTAGGCTGACGCTCTATCCACTGGGCCATACAGACTAGGGCGGGAGCCCCATTTTAAGGTGGGAAGTGATTTGTTCACACAGGGCTGGAATTTGAATCCAGTTCTGCGACTCCAAAGGCCACACGATGGAGATCCTTTCCACACACCTACACTGCCCCCAGAACACACAAACGTAAGAGTAATAATGACAGCCTGACACTGAGTACTCAGCATCACCTGGATGCTATCCTGAGAGATCTGTGTGCTCTAGACAAGAATAAATGTTCTGCACAATAAATACTGACCCAATTCCTGACCAAGAAGCTTAGAATTAAGTCAGTGAATGTTTGCTGAGTGCATAAATAAGATTTTTCTAAGCTACTGGTACCCACCTGCTGAACGGAAAGACAAATTCTATAGCTCTAACTACTCCCCGTGACCCAGGAGATCTGGGATAATGGGACCCTCATTGAGGGGTGGGAGATGCCTGGCATTTAAGACTTCTCCAGGCACCATCCAAATGTGCCCTTGGACAAGCCTTTGTCAGGGCCTGGAGTGAATTAGCTACTGTGGGAGCGGAGGCCAGGCCTGCAGAAATGTGGCTCTCTGAGAGCTGCTGGCATTTTCTCTTACTATTTCATGCTTTTATTTGGGGGCGGCGGCATGCTTGGGCTGCTACATTTAAGAAGGAGACTTGGGGTGACAGCAAGAAGCAGAACACTTCCAGTGAAAAGGACAGTTGCAGGGACAGAGGGAAGGCACCTGGGTGCTTCCCATCCTTTCCACACGGGGTAACTTTCCAACAGGTGACCTCGGCGTGCACAGGGACCGGACCTCAGCCTTCCTGAAGTTGCCATGCCCAGAGCTGGTCTCTGCCTCCACATCTCACATTTCATCCCAGAGAAGACTTTTCCCACGTGGCCTGGGAAAGGATCTGGGCCAAGCAGCCAGGGCACATTAACTAACGACCCTGGCGGTCCTGTCGTTTCCAAAACACTGGAAAGCAACCTGCAAAAAATGCTGCATGCTAAGCAGAATAAGCTGACGGCGAATTTCTCAGCTCAGCTCTGACAGTTTTGTTTACCAAGACCTCAGCTAGACTCAGACCAATAATGGGGCCCAGAGGCCAGGCCTCACCCATCGAACATTAACTCAAGCTCTCTGGCATGCTCACATTGCTCCCTGGCTCCCAGGTAGCTGTGACACACAGCCAGGGTGGGAGTCCCAGGCCTAGCAGTCCCACCGAGACTGTTCCAGGTCCCTCCCACAGGGCTGAGTCCTCGCAAGCATCTTCTTGGACATCCCTCTTAGAGAGGTTATGCTGGATGGATGGATGTGATCCTGTGATTTATATAAGAAATATACATACTCCCAGGCCTTTCGCTTCCTGGAATGTTTAAAAGTGAATGCCAGGACAATGCTTACTTACTCCTAACAGTCCTAACTGTGAAAGAAAGAGCCAAGCCTAAGCATGCCAATTAGAACCAAGTCCCAAGAATGCCAACTAGTGGGGTAAACAGGCACCTCCTTGGGGGGACTCAGAAAAACAGGCTCTTCACCAGCTCAGCCTACCTACCATGGTAAACAAAGAAAGTGAAACAAGTTTCTGCTCTCAACCGAAATCCTGCCCGAATTTCAAAGATAAAATGGCCAGGAAAAGAGGCAATCAGAAACGAGAGAGGTCAGTAGTTTTGGACATGGACAAGCTGACAGAGAGCGCTCTCTGGAGCAATGAATGGAGGCGCTAGACCCAAGGCTCACAAGGAGAAGCAGCCAACTAGAAGCAAATCAGTGCCCACTCCAGGACCCTGGGAAGGGCGGGAAGCCAAGGCCCCAGGGGGCTCTGAGAGCAGGACTTCAGAGAGGGGCTGAGAACGGAAGGTCTAGTGGAGCAGCTGGATACCAAGGCACCCTAACTCTGGAGTTTTACTCTCCAGCCACCCTGACTCCTGTCTTCTCTCACACTTCCATCATCAAGTGAGATTGGTTCGAGCTCTGAGTACCAATATGTCTAAGATCTGCATCCCTCACATGACCTCATCTTTTTTTTTTTTTAATTTATTTTATTGATTTTTTTTTTAAAGAGGAAGGGAGAGGGAAAGAGAATTAGAAACAGTGGTGAGAGAGAAACATCAATCAGCTACCTCTTGTACAACCTCCTACTGGGGATGTGCTCAACCAAGGTACATGCCCTTGACCAGAACCAAACCTGGGGCCTTTCAGTCTGCAGGCCAACGCTCTATCCACTGAGCTAGATTGGTCAGGGCATGACCTCATCTTTCACTACTTGCTCCCACGTTCCAGCACCTTCTTGCATTTACTTGAAGATGCGGAGTCCACATATCCCTCTGGGCCTTTGCACAGGCTGTTCTCTCCTCCACTAGCACTTCCCTCGCATGTCTTCATACCACCTGCTAGGATGCCACCTTCTCTGACCACTCTGCATCTCCGTCACCCTGCTTTATTTTTCTCCAAAGCACCTTTTCTCCCCTAACATGTTATGTATTTATTTACCACCCATCTCCCTCAGTGAAATGTCAGCTCCTTAGGGACAAGGGTTTGTCTTTTCCGTTCATTGCAGTACCCCAAGAGCCTGGGACAGTGCCCAGAGCATGGTGCGTAATCAATATTTGTTGAAAGAGTGAAGTGGAGAAACTGAACTCTGGATTAGGACATGCAGCAGAGGGACAGGAAGACAGAACGATCAACACCATTAAGCACCTAGATGACACTATTGGGTGGGTGGTCTCATCTTTCCCCGGAAGGGAGCATGGATATGCACTGGATAATTACATCAGAATCTCTGAGCATATCCAGCCCAGGAGTGTCCACCAGGCCACAGAGGCAGGTTTTGTCACCTGTGCTCACTACTTACGTGAAGTGGATGGCAAGTCACAGGGGTTCAGTGAATGCTTGCTGACTGAACAGGAGAGGGCAGGCTTAGTGTTAGAAAAGAAGGAAACTAACGAAAGGAACAGGCAAGAGTGGGCAGCCAAGGCCAGGGAGCAAGGCTGAGCCATGCTGTGGATGCCTTGAATGCAAGCTAAGGCCTTAACCTGAGGCTGGGAGGTGAAGTAAAATTGCACAGGCAAGTGATTCAATAAGAACAGAGTGCAGGTATGTGCATGAGTTTATTCGATAAACATTTGAGCACCCCATTTATAGACCAGGCCAATGTTTCCCAAAGTGTGGTACGCGTACCCCCAGGCGTACGGGAAGAGTTTGGTGGGGATATGTACTGCACCGTGCTTAGCTGCGCCTACGTTCTCATGAGTACAAGGGGTACTCAGCGTTACGAAAAATTATAGAAGGGGTACACATATGTCAAAAGTTTGGGAAACACTGTAGACCTTGGGAATATGGTAAACATAGCCCACCTAATCCTCTTAGCTTTTAAGCCTTTACAGGGCAAAGAGTTTGTGATCATTTTTCTAAGTCCTAGGAGAAGCATTAAAAAAAAAAAAAAAAAAAAAAATGGTGGGTAGAAAAACCCCCAGAAAGTTGGGGATTTAGGGACAGTGGGTAGGGATAAGATAAACACTAGATAAGAGTGCTTTTAATTCTCATTTCTAAACTAAGAGAGATCTCTGAACTCAGAAAAAATAAGAATCAAAGCTTTAACCCTTCCCAGATAACCTGTGATTCCTGGAAATCCTGCAGGGCCAGGAGGGGTTTTAATCTGCACAGCCTCATCATACCCTCAGGCTCCAAATTACTAGAGAGATTCAGAGAAAGAAAATTAAGAAACAGAGACCCACTGTTTAACCAGTGGTGAGGGCAGAGGACTTTTATCCACAGCACAATTAAGCACTCGTCTATTTAAAGTGTTCTCATTAGCAACATCAATGACTATCATGGCTTTATGACCCAGGAAAGGAGGAGGGATCTAGAAGCAAGGTGGGGTGAGGAAAAAGGCTTCACATTTTAGACTGTTTCTCTAACTTGATTTATGACCTTGGGTAGGTCATCTTCTCTGGGCTCCAGATTCCCAGAATTAAACTGAGGGAGCTGGACTATTTATTCACTAAAGAATTTCTAGTTCCAACTCTTTCTGTAGCTTTTCAGGTGTCCACCATCCCCACCACGTGGGATCCAGAAGGTTCTTCATGAATATCTGCTTGAATGAATGAAGACTAACTTCTTTTAACCTCTCATTTTACATGTTTGGAACTCTAACTTGTGTGTGTGTGTGTGTGTGTGTGTATGGATCGGGTGTGGGGGTATCCTTCCAGAAGAGGGCTCCCCGGAATCCACTGGGCACCAGATTGGATGGTGCAGTTCTGGAACCAGACTGCTAGGGCTTAAACCCCAGCTCCAGGACTTACCCATCACGTGGTTTTAGCCAAGTCGGTCTTAACTGAGCCTGACTTACAAAGGTCGCTGCGAGATCAATGATAAACCCCATAAAGCTCCTTGAAGAATGCCTGATAAGTAGTTGGGACTCAAAAAAAAAAAAGTTCTTGTTGTCCTAGCTGTATTGCTCAGTGGATAGAGTATCGGCCTGCGGGACTGACTGAAGGGTCCCGGGTTTGATTCCGCTCAAGGGCGCAGGCCGGTTTCGGGCTCGGTCCCTGGTAGGGGCGTGCAGGAGGCAGAGGATCAATGATTCTCTCTCATCATTGATGTTTCTATCTCTCTCTCTCCCCTTCTCTCTTCCTCTCTAAATCGATAAAAATGTACATTTTTAAAATGTTCTTGTTGCCACGCTATCACACCTAACCAGAATGACTTTTCAGGACAGTTTACAAGGCGCGTGCAAATGGAGACACGTGGTGTGTGGTAAGAGCGACGAGAGTAAGAGTGACAATAAATCCCCAATCGCGAGCCAAGAGGAAACGTGCTCCGCGCTTCCCTTACCCGCTGGGGTCTAGTTTATAAACTCTCCCGCGAGCCGGCACCTCTGAGGTCCGGGTTCGAGCCTCTGTGCGACCTTGGAACAGCCTCGTTCCTCCCGGCCTTGATTTTCTCATCTGCAAAACGGGGGCTGCCCCGCCAGCTCCAAGGGTCCCGAGGAGGAGACCCCGGACAGCCTCGGGGTTGCCCGCACCGGCAATGAGGTCGCAGAGGCAGCAGACCCCGGCAGGCCCTCGTAGGCCGGTCTCCTCGGCAGCTCACCCCCCCTACCTTCCTGCCGGCAGTAGGCCATGGCTGCAGCCCAGCGCTCAGACCTCGCGGTGGTAGCGGCGGCGGCAGCGGGAGCGGCGGCTTCACGCCGTGACCTCTTCTCTGGTAGGGCCGCAGGCTCCGAGGCCCACGTGAACCCGCCCCCTCCAGGCCTGCCCGCCGCGCGCCTGCCTCCGCGCCTTTCCAGCCCCAGCCTGGGGAGGGGACGCCTCAGCAGGAACTACAATATCCAGCAGGCCGTGCGCCGCCGGGCGCTCTCACGGCAGTAGGAACTACACTTCCCAGAAAGCCTTGCGATACGCAGGCGTATCAGTGACATACGATGCATTTTTTGCAACTTGGTGGAGAAAGTACCTGACCCCGGACTACGTTTCCCAAAAGTCCTTGCGGCGCGCATGAGCAGAGAGGCTGGAGAGCGCGGGGGCGGTAACATTGTAGCACATCCCCCTCGGGTTCTGGGCTTCACGCGCGTTTTCGCAACTCAGGCAAGACAGGAGGCCCTCCGCACCCTGGCCGTGAACCCCTTTCCTACCTGAGCAGAGCGAGCCGGGGCGGCGAGCCGGGCCCCACCATGGCCGCGAACGTGAGTGTCCCCTGGCCTGTCGGGCCACACCCAAGCTTCCCCGTCACCGGGCCTCTTCCCTCCCGTGGGTCCATTTTGCTTGTCCGACTGACCCTCGTCTGCGCGCCCCGCTGGCTCCCTCTGCATGCTGTTTCTATAACCTTCCGGCAGCTAATCCGTCTGTTCGTTTCCCTTATCCTGTCCAGACTCCGGACTCCTTTTGTCCGTATTCTTTGGGCGCGCTTTTGCGGGGAGGGAGCCCAGGAGGTGTTGCATTGGCATCTACTCGTGCGCGGCACCTCCCAGCAGCCCCTCCTCCATCCCCCTTACCGCCGGGGCCCTGGCTCCCGGATCGGCGGAGCTGGACGGGACCTCAGAGAGGGGGCCAGGCCGCGGGAAGGGTGGGGACGCAAATGCCGCCCAGGCGGAGCTGTCCAGCAGGGACAGACAGGGCTTTCTGCGCAGGCGACGAGCTCCCGCCCCGGGGTGGGTATGTGGATCGAGGCTGTGATGCTGCAGCGGGGCACAGGTCTTGCTGCGAGCGGAGGAGTTAGGATGGCCGTAGGAGGGCGCACTTCCCTACTGGCTGGCCCCTCATCCTCCTAGCGTGGGTTTGGTTAGAGCGGTCCTGATGGAAGGTAATTCCTTTCCAAAGGCCGCTGGCCTCTTCTCCCCGCAGCCAGCTTTTCTTAAGAGCCAGTCTACTTAAGTCCAACAATTCATTCAACAAATCGGGTGGCCCTTTCCACCAGGGTGCTGCCTATGGGAGAAGCCGGTGACTCACCACTCCCTTCCTCCGTGAGAGTGCTTCTGGAGCCAACTGGGGAACCCAGCCAGCCCCAGACACTCCCTCCCTCACTCCGCCTCCCTCTGTGGTGGCCTGTCCTACCCACTCTCTCCTGGCCTGTCACACCCTCTCTCCAGGCCCCTGCTCTGTCTCCAAGGATCCTCTCTATCTTCCACACCCTCTGTGAGGCAGAGTTTGTGTCACTCACAGCCTAGCCACTCTGCCCCAGTTAGAGCTGTCTTTCCCGCCTAGAGGCCTTGAACACTGCACCTAGAAAAGCATCGGAGATGGTCCATGAGGCCCAGGGTCTGCCAGTGGAGAGGGCAGTCAGGAAACTCGCTTGCCCCCAAAGGTGGATTCCTATCTGCCCCAAATCCCCACCACCATATTTTACAGATGGGGACCTTCCCCAGCAGGGGAAGGCACTTGCCCAGGTCTCTCAGCCAGCTTGGCAGGTTATATCAGGGGAAGGTGCTGAAAACGGCAGGCTTTGGAGTCAGACAGACGTGGGGGCAAATCCACTCTCCTTCTCTCTGTAGTGGGATGCGTTACTGGGAAGTTTATGCTTTCAACAGTGCCTGGTGTGAAGTAGGAACTTAATAAATGAAACAAATTCTTCTCAGTATAAGATGGTCCATCCTGGTGGGCAGAGACCATCTTGGGTATGTAGGAATGTCGATGAATTTGGGGATCCTCTATTACCAAGTCTTGGTTGCTTCTAGAGGTCACACAAACTCATCGACATTCCTTGGCAAGGGTCAGGTCCCAACATACCCCAGATGGTCTCTGCCCACCAGGATGGACCATCCTACGCTGTGAAGGATTTTTTGTAACCTGGTGTGTATCTAGGGGGAGGAGCCACCAAGCCCTGGTAAGGTAGAGCAGGGAGGTGACAAGATTTTTTAATCTGTGTAACCACTGTCCTGTCACAGGTACTGTTTACCATCTCCATTTTATAAACGAGTAAACAGGATCAGAGAGGCAGAGTAACTTATCCAGGGTTTCACAGTGATTTCCAGGGCCTGTGTGTTGACTTCTGTTCCCACCTCTCATTACTTTTGAGACTGGAAGGGTACGTGTCACCGAGGATACACATTATGCAGCCAACGTCAAGATGACTTTGAAGGGAAGGAAGAAGGCTCGGGAGGGTGCCCTCAGGTGTAGGGGTGGGTAGTGAGGATGAGCAGAGGAAGTCTCCATCATCCTGTTCATTGGGAATTTGATTCAGAATGTGGACTGGGGGTGTCCTATCTCTACCCACCTCACCAGCAAACAGTAGTTACCTCTGGGAGCTGGAGAGAGGGGAGTATTGGCCAGCAGGGGTCCAGAGAGACTTTCTAGAGTGATTGACACGTTCTGTATCTTGGCCAGGATGTTGGTCAGATGGGGTATGTATATGTCAAAACCCATCAAACTGTACACTTATTTACCATGTGTATTAAAATGAAAACTGAGTATAAATAATGAAATTTATTTTAAAAACTAAATTTTATTTTTTTTTTCTTTTTTCTTTCTTTCTCCAGTATTCTAATACGAGTAATAGAAGAGAACATGTCAAGGTTACGACTAACTCCCAACCAGGCTTCCTGGAGCGGCTGAGCGAGACCTCGGGTGGGATGTTTGTGGGGCTCGTGACCTTCCTACTCTCCTTCTACTTAATTTTTACCAATGAGGTAAGTTGTTCAGGGTCTGTCTGTGCAGAGAGAGGGTCCCCATAGCGCCAGGGGGCAAAGGCTGAGATCCAGAGGCTGGATTTAGTAATAAGGACTTCACTTTACACTAGAGAGAGGGGGATGTTGAACTCACCAGAATTCTTTGTGATTTGACACACACATCCCACCCCAACCGAAATAAGCGAGAAGGGAGGGGATAGGTTAACACCTGACATGCTGGGAGCAGCACCAGCTTCAGGCATGGTTGCATCCAGGCATTTATGCTGGGCCACTAGGAATCTCCATTTCTTCATCTGCCGCCCGTGTTTCTCTGTTGTGGATTTTTTTTTTTGGCAGGCTCTTCCTTTGTGGTGGCAAAGGAATTCCAGGGTAATATCCAGTCAGCTTAGCAGCCCCAGAGAACAGAGGAACCACCTCCTTCTAAATGATTTTAGCAACAGTTGCAGGGAGATCTCTTGAGTCCTGGCTCGGGTCTCTGTTCACTCTGAACCAGTCCCTGAGGCCAATGAACAAATGTTCTGATTGGCTAGGCCTGGGTCACATGACTTGGACGGACACCCAAGTAAATCACATGGACTGAGTAGCGAAGGGGAGGAGAAAGCAGAGGAAAATGGGGGAAAGGGTACAAGGCAGACAAAACGGCAGCTAGCTCTAGCATGGAGGCCGTGGGGTGGTGGGAAGAGGTCTGCCTGGGAAAGCAGGAACCTGGGTTTCAGTCCCAACACTGCACTTGGTAGACCTCAGTTTTCCAGCTGCACAATGGGAAGGTCGGTCTCAGTGCTCTCTGAGGCCATGCTGCCCTGAGATGCTGCGTCAGGCTACGCCTGAGCTGCTAAAGCTCACTCCCCTTTGCTCACAGGGCCGCGCGTTGAAGACAGCAACCGCCCTGGCTGAGGGGCTCTCACTTGTGGTGTCCCCTGACAGCATCCACAGCGTGGCCCCGGAGAACGAGGGGAGGCTGGTGCACATCATTGGGGCCCTGCGGACATCCAAGGTGCGTTTCACGGCGGTTGCTGACCCCCTGGAGGCATGCGGCACGTCACTAGATACTGTTCGGTTGAGGATTTTGAAAGCATGGACACACACGGGTGTGATTACTGACCCCACTCTCAGCAGCTGTGTGGATCCATCACTTCTGAGTCTCAACATCTTCATCTGTAAATTGGGGAGAAAAATTGTGACTAAGTGAGGGGCCAGTTTTGAAGATTTGGTGGGATTAAGTAGCTAACGTCCTGCCACGGTGCCTGGCATGTGGCAGGAGCTTTCCAAATAGGTGCTTTAATGGTTATGATTGGCCTGTGGGTCTAGTGCAAGGCTACTTAGGTACTCTGGTTACTGGACCTTTCCAGGGTGTGAGGCACATGTCACAGGCACTGGGTGTCTAGAACGTGGGGAAGGCAGCTTCACTCCATTCTCCTACATCATTGTTTCCCAAACTTTTGATATATGTGTACCCCTTCTATAATTTTCGTAACGCTGAGTACCCCTCATCAAAAAAACAAAAACAAATAAAAAATGGATGTATTAGGCGCAGCTAAGCACGGTGCAGTGCATATCCCCACCAAACTCCGGTGCAACGCGTACCCCCACCAAACTCTTCCCGTACCCCCGGGGGTAGGCGTACCACACTTTGGGAAACACTGTCCTACGTGAAGCAGCTGCAGAGTTCTCTGTCCTGTCCCGTCCTGGTCCTCTGTCTGTTTCCTTTCTAGTCCAGCTTCCCCTGCACCAGGCATGCTGGGCCGGTGTGTGTTTTGTTCTTTATGTGTTCATTTTTGGTTTGTTTGCTTCTCTTTGAAGCTCTTGTCTGATCCAAACTACGGGGTCCACATCCCTGCGGTGAAGCTGCGCCGGCACGTGGAGATGTACCAGTGGGTGGAGACCGAGGAGTCCAGGTGAGGCGCCGGCGATGAGGGTCAGCGGCGGGTAGCGGAGGTGCAGGCGGCTTTCGCCGTGACACTTCTGAAATTTAAAGTTTGAAGTCTTCTGTCAGAGAAATGTCAAATTATCCCAAAGTTAATGGTGAGTGATCTTTTGTTTGGAGGTGGCAGAAATCCAGTGCAGAGTGGCCTGAGCTGAAGGCATTACTGGTTTCAGGCCACAAACAATTTTGTGCCATGTGTTAATTCCATCTTTTCTCCCACGAGGGGTCAGAAGTGGCCTCCTGGCTTACGTCCTATAAGTTTAAAAAAAATATTATTTTTAATCCTCACCTGAGGATATGTTTTTATTGATTTTTAGGGAGAGGAAGTTAAGGGTGGGGGAGAGAGGGAGAGAGAAACATGGTTGCCTCCTATATGCACCCTGACCAGCTGAACCACCCAGCTGGCAACATTCCATCAGGTTTTTAAAAAATATATATATATATATATATTTTTTATTGATTTCAGAGAGGAAGGGAGAGAGAGAGAGAAATATCAATGATGAGAGAGAATCATTGCTTGGCTGTCTTTTACACAGCCCCCTCTGGGGATTGAGCCCACAACTTGGGCATTTGCCATTGGCCAGAATCGAACCTGGGACCCTTCAATCCACAGGCTGATGCTCTATCCAATGAGCCAAACCTGCTAACCCCGTGGTTGGCAAACTGCGGCTCTTGAGCCACATGCCGCTCTTTGGTCCCTTGAGTGTGGCTCTTCCACAAAATACCAGGCCTGAGTGAGTCTATTTTGAAGAAGTGGCGTTAGAAGAAGTTTAAGTTTAAAAAATTTGGCTCTCAAAAGAAATTTCAATCGTTGTTCTGTTGACATTTGGCTCTGCTGACTAATGAGTTTGCCGACCACTCGGCTAGGCCAACATCCTATTAGTTTTAACAGATGTCTTAGGGGAGACCCTCATTGGCCGTGGTGGAGGTCAGCCCCACCTGAGCCATTTGGACCATGAGTGAGGGGTGGAGAGAGGCTGGGTGAGCCTGGTGCAGGGCACCTTTGGAGGGTCTCCATGGGGCTGTCCTGGAGCAGCGGGTACAGCCCGATCTGAGTCCAGAGAGAGGAACTGTGACCCTTGTTGTGAGCCAGGCAGAGGCAGATTTCAGCTCCAGTTGAGAAAGCACTTTTCTCAGGTCAGGAGCTCAAGGGCTGCAGCTGGCTGTCTGCCAGGGAGTGAGCAGCCTGTCTGGGCCGGTGCAGACCAGGCCTGCTCCCTTTGGGCAGTTTGACTGGGTAGCCCCAAGTTGCTTCAGCTGGAGATGCTTAGAGATGGGAATGTCTCAGGAGTGACAGGCTGACTCTGGACCTGTTGTGCTTTCCCCACAGAGATTATACTGAGGACGGGCAGGTGAAAACGGAGAGGAAGTACTCCTACAGTGAGTATAAGCCCCCGTTCTCCAGGGCCACGTCCCAGGCCTGTGGGCAGACACTGGGCACATCCCTGCAGTGGGGTCGGGCACGGAACCAGGTGTCGGGATCCCCGGGTGCTGGTGCTCAGAGCCCTGCTCTCCCATCCATCCAGCGAGACTCCAGGAGATGCCCCTTCAGCCATAGAATGGTCACAGGCTTGGATAAGTGGACCTCGGACATGTGACCACTGCTGCCATGGTTGCTGAGTTGTTCCCTCTTTCCACAATAGACCCTGAATGGAGGTCGGAAATCGTCAACAGCAGGAACTTCGACCGAGAGATTGGCCATAAAAACCCTAGGTGAGGTCTGGGCCCCCAGGCATGAGTGCAGCCTTGGCTGTCACTGGTGTGTCTGCAGTCTTAGCTTCCTCATCTGAGTAATGGGACTGAGTTACTTCTGCCTCATGAATTGATTAAAGTGTTGGACACGTGGGCCACACTGTGCTCTGGGATGACTACCCACTCCCTGGCACAAGACTGGCTGCTAGACGGGACAGCTCCTGGGCACCAGGAACAGAGGCGAGACCCAACTTCCCTGACCCCAAACAAGCTACCCTCACACAGGTCATGAATTTAAGGCCTGGACTGAGTGCCCAAAGGGATTTGCATGTGTAGTACCAGGGAAGCTTTTGTTAACCGTTAGCTATGTTAACCATGGGGTAGGAGGACAGTCAGGAAGGGCTTTCAGGAGCAGTGGCATTTGATCTGGGCCTTTGTAGGATTTTGGCAGGGGGAGGTTAGCTCAGGGACATGAGGGTGGAGCAGGCCTGACGTGAATGTGCACAGTGGGCTTAGATACTACCTGGGGCTGGGGTCAAAGGGGTGAAGTCCATGGAAGGTCCATCTGATGGCTGGGGGTGGGACAGGCTGGTAGGGGGTCTAGGCAAGAGGCTATGAGCCCTGGGAACAGGAACAGAGTGAGGATGTTCCATTCAGGGAAGGGGGTCTTGAGATCATTCAGGGGGTAGAGTTGCTTGTAAAGACAAGATGTCTGCATTGCTTGGCTGGTCTGGACTTGGCAGGAGTCCCCTGGGTAGGGATCCTCCCCAGCACAACCCAAAGGAACTCAGATACTCGCACCTGGTGTCCTGCTTCACTGATAGCTCCCTCTCTCCCACAGTGCGATGGCCGTGGAGTCGTTCATGGCAACAGCCCCCTTCGTCCAGATTGGCAGGTTTTTCCTCTCGGCAGGTAAGTCCGTGGCCCCTTCGGGTGAGCCATCGCCAGCCCAGAGGTTCTGTGCTTCCCTTTAGCCGCTGGTGCTCCAGCACTCAGCCCTTTTGTGGTTAAAGTGGCTCTGCTCCCTGGACATGGGATCAACCAGAACCTTCCCGAGGATCATGTTTTGAGCTGGGGTCAGAGAGAAGGCAAATCTCTAGGAGGCAGGGACTCGTGTAGAACACCCGCACCTCGGGCAGGTTCCTCTGACCCCGGATTATTCCAGAGAATGACTGCCAGGCCCTGCTGTGGTGCTGGTGCCTGTTCTGACCAGATGAAGCCAAGAGCCTTTCCTCACGGGGCCCTGAGCCAGCAGTAGAGCCAAGACTCTCCCTGAGGGCTCCACCCCTGAGCCCTACCTGGCATCTAGCCCTGTGCCAGGGAGTGCGTGGTTCATCCCCCTCCTCACCAAGTTATTCCAAAGAGTGGATTTCAAGGGACAAGGCAGTATCACGGCCACAGTAACTCCTGGGGCTCTGTCCCTGTGGCTGACCCAGGAAGGTGGGAGAGAAGACACTGAGGACCCAAATAACCAAAGTGAAGGAGGAGAGGCTGGGATTGAGGGCTTGGCCTGCTGCCATCTGCTCTGTTGCTCAGCCGTGCCCACCAGCCCTGGCCTCCAGTGGTCTCCGTGCAGTTTGGGAGCCAGGCTTGGGCATGGGTAACCAGACCCAAGGTGGAATTGGTGCAGAGCCAAGACCATTCCCAGAGCTGTGGCCACTCTAACTGGACGGAGAGGGGAAAGGGAAGGCTTCCTGGAGGAGAGGGAGATTGTAGTGGGGCTGGCAAGGGGCAGCTGTGGAAGAGCAGGAGCTGGAGAAGGGCACTGCGTGGGGGTCATGCGCTGAAGGCCCTGAGGAGAATGAGCCAGGAGGGCAGCTGGGCAGGGCTGTGTGAGGGTGCGGTGGGAAGGATGTCAGGCTGAGGGGTTTGCAGATGAGGGGTGTTTCTAACCGCCCTGTTTCTCTCAGGCCTCATTGACAAAGTTGACAACTTCAAGCCACTGAGCCTGTCCAAGCTGGAGGACCCACACGTGGACATCATTCGCCGGGGAGACTATTTCTACCACAGTGAAAACCCCAAGTACCCAGAGGTGCACAGAGGGACCCGGACAGTTCAGATAGTGCAGAGCAGGGCCACTGAAGTACCTTCTCCCAGGAATTCACAGCACTCGCTTAAGACTGATTCGGTTTGGTGGAATCCACAGCTGCACTTGGCCAAATGAATTGGGAGGGGAGGGAGTTCTAGGTGATGGAACCACCTGGGAAAAGCTCTGGGGCTGGGAAAGAGGGTGAGCGTAGGGGCTTGACAGTGCCATGGACTCACTCACCCCACTTTCTTCCTCCCCCAGGTCGGAGACGTTCGAGTTTCCTTCTCCTATGCCGGGCTGAGCAGTGATGACCCTGACCTGGGTCCGGCTCATGTGGTAATGTAACTTCTCCAGGGCAGGCTGAGGCAGGGCTTCCCAGCCTCCCTGGCCATGGCCACAGTGGACAGCGTTGGGAATGTGGCTTGGGACCCTCCCTCTAGGACCCATGCTCGTATTCATTTAGGCATGCCTCTGAGCGGTTCCAGAGGTCTGTGTCCCCTGGAGCCATCCAAGGATATCCGTAGGCCCCAGTTTAAGAACTGGGGTGGCATCGGTCTCACTCACTTCCTGGTAGGCACACAGAGTAGAGGGGTGCTGAAGGGGTGGACTGGTCACTGTCTCGGCTCTTACACTAAATTCTCTGACCAGGTCACTGTGATTGCCCGGCAGCGGGGTGACCAGCTAGTCCCATATTCCACCAAGTCTGGGGACACCTTGCTCCTCCTGCACCATGGGGACTTCTCAGCCGAGGTGAGTTGCTGCTGTCTGCCTCTGTGATGGAGGGACTGGTGTTTTTAATAAGGTTATTAAATAAGCACCTACTTCTAGAGGTCATGGCCAGTAGTACACTGGGCAAATCAGACTCCATCACTGGCACGCAGTCTTGTGGGGGAGGGTGACTCATCCGTAAAACCAGTAAGGGAGTATCATGAAGGGGAGGCAGATGCTTGGAGATAAACGGGCATGATGGGGAATCTGCTTTGACAGTGTCTAGAAAGGCCTCTCTGAGTAACATTTCTGCTGAGTGCCAAGTGAAGGGAGGGGGTCAGTGCTGAACGTAGTCCAGGCAGGTCAGAGTTCACCTTGTTGGGAACATAAAGAGTGTCCGTGTGGCCAGCACCCAGAGAGAGTGGTCAGGGGAGGAAGCCTCTGAGCAGGCAGGGCCCCTTGTGAGGGGGTGGATTCGGTGGGCAGGGGAGGGATCTGAGCTGCAGAGTCTCCGGATCAGGTGAGGGCAGTACCTCCTTCCCCTCTGTAGAAGGAAGAGGGAGAGTCCTGCTTCTCAAGTCCCAAGGAGAAGGGGTACAAAGATGTACCAGTTAGTTCAGTTAGCCACTCTCCTCTAAGCAGGAAATCCTCCTCTTTAACGGAAAGATACAGCTTTTCCATTGTTGAGCATAGTGTATCACTGTGCACATTTTGTGCTTTGAATAGGATTGCTGGGTTTTGCATCCAGAAAGTCTTGAAAAGGGCAGTGGGCAGGTGTCGGCTTAGGCCCTCAGCTGTCATCCCTCTCGCTTTAGCACCTAGCCCTGGGGTATTGCATGGGCCCAGCCTTCTCTAGCCAGGACTAGGGTGTGGTTGGGCTGCAGCTCAGGAGCCTGGTTACCAACCTCAGGGTGGAGCTGCCACCGCCCAGCCTGACGTGACATGAGTCACCCTTTCCTCCAGCAACTCTCAGGGCCCCCTGGGTAGTTTCTAATATTAGGGAGCCCTGTCCAGGCCTTTCCCTCTCTCCCAGAGCGCCAGCCCTGTCCCCAGGTTTCCATCCTCCTGCAGGCAAAGGCAGTGTGAGCTGCCCCCAGAGTGGTGGCGGCTCATGGCTTAGATAACTCCCCAGGAGGGGAGACGGTGACAGTGGAGATGGGCAGGAGCTTCCTGATCACCCTGGGTCTCCAGCTCAGGGTCTGGGGTCTGATAAGCAGGGAGAGAAGGTCCTGAGCCAAGGAGGCATCCTGGGCCCTTAGAAAGAACCCCTGGGAGTCAGGCTGTTCAGCCTTCAGTCTGGGGACAGGAGAGTGCAGTGTGGACAAGCATGGGCACTGGAGATGGCCCCACCTCAGGCCCTGCTCTGCCTTCCGCTGGCTACGGGACTTTGAGCCAGTTGATTATCCTCTCAGCCTGTTGGCTCCTCTGTAAAATGGAAATTAAGAAAAAAAAAATTGCAATTATCCCTATCTTATTTGGTTGTGTGAAGATGATCCATTTTATTGAGCACCAGGGACAGAGGGACAAAACAGACATGCCCTCAAGCTCATAGCTAACTGCTTGGGTGAGACCCTGGGCATGTCACTTATCCTCACAGATCCTCAGTTTCCTCTTCTGTAAAATGGAGATAAGTGTGCCTACCTCATCAAGTTATTTTTAAGGATTAAGCACTTAGGACAGTTGACTGATAAATGGTAAGCAGAAAGTGTTAACTATCAGTTAGCTATCATAATATTAGTATAGATAATGACTAGGTGGGCTCTCTGAAGAAATGGCATTTCAGCCAAGACTAGAGAAATGTGTAGGAGCCGGCCAGGCACAACTGGGCAAACATGTTCTCAGCAGAGCAACCGCATGTGCAAAGGCCCCAAGGCAGGCGGAGGTTTGACCGGGGCCCAGTGGGGCTGCATGGAGAAGGTGGTGGTGGTGGCAGAAGCAGGGAGGCCCGTGGGAGGAGGCTACTGAAGGGGCCCTGGTGAGGGGTTGACGGCGGTGAGAGAGGGTTTGAGGAAATGTGGACCCTGTGTTGACAGGACTTGCTGATGGCCAGAATAAGAGATGGTGAGGGGAGGAACAAGCCAAGTTTGACACCCAGGTTTTGGCTTATGCAGGTGGGTGGGTGGTACCATTTGCTGAGATGGAGACGACAAGGAACAGGTTGGGGTGGAAACTCCAGTGTCAGTGTCAGATGTGCCAAGACATGCAGTGGATGTCACATAGGCTGTGGGAGCCATGGGGGTGAGGCCCAGAAAGATACACTCCTGGGAGAGAGTGTGGACTGAAGCAGCCAGGGAATTTCAGCATTTAGAGGATGGTAAGAGGGAAGGAATGGCCCGGCAGACTGAGGAGGGAAACCAGAAAGGTCCCAGATGCCATGAGCAGTGTCAGAATAAGTCGGACACCATACACGAAGCATTTCCCAGAGCTCCTGCAGGCACACTCACACGTTCCCACTGTCATGGTTGTGGATAAATGGCCCCAGAAAGGCACTGCTGTCGTATGAGGGAGGGTCAAGTTTATTCCAGATGAGTTGGCGGGGTGAGGACTCCTGAAGGAGGTGTCCTGTGACCCGAGGGCCCATACCTTCCATAAAGATGTGTGTGCGCACCTGCTGTGCTGTGCTGTGCTAGGCGGGGGAGGCACTTAGACCTGGGGGGGAGATGCGCCCTTACCTGTTCAGAAATGGCGTCTCCTGCTTTGTTATGGTCCCCTCAGCCACCTGCCTGCTTTGTCCTACAGGAGGTGTTTCTTAGAGAACAGAAGAGCAACTCCATGAAGACATGGGGCCTGCGGGCAGCTGGCTGGATGGCCATGTTCATGGGCCTTAACCTCATGACACGGATCCTCTATACCCTGGGTAGGTGGGGGACACAGGGGTGGGAATCTTGCTCGTCCTCCTGTAGCCCTCTATGCTTCCTCCATGCCTCTCACACCACCTGTCAGCTTTTCTGACCTGATGGTATGCAACTTGGGGCAGGGAGCGGGCATCTCTGAGTACGTACTCCATAGCTCTGGGATGAAGGGCCAGCCTTTGCAGTGAGCGGGACTTGAAGTCTTATGTCAGAGCTCTGGACCTTGGGCCATCCTCTTTCCCGTGTTAGCTGTGGTTCTCTCACACCTCTTTTGTAGTTTTATGAAATATTTGGCAAACAGGAAACACTAAAGTATTGTTATACTTTTGGGCTAGATTTGGGATAGCCAGCAATTCTGGGGCACAAGGGAGAGTTTGCTGCTCCCATAGCCTGAGGCTGGCACCAGTGAGCCCAGTAGTTGCCCAAGTGACGCAGCCTGTTCAGGACTGAGTGCCCAGCTGATTGAGTAAGGGCGGGTGTAGACTGTTGCAATCAGAGGAATGGGAGGACGGGACTTCAGAGGACTTTCCATCTGAGCCTTTACCCCAGTGAGTCCCTGTCCAGTCTGATGATTCAGCCTTCTCTGAGCCCCAACAGAAACCTTTTCCCCACTTCCCCATTCCAGTTTGGGAGACCTGGCTGCAAATACCCCAGACTGTCAGAGCAGGGAGGGCCACCTGCCTCATTTTATGGATGGGGAAACTGAGGTGCAGGGAGGGGAAGGACACTTCTCCAAGGTTTTCTTTGGATCGATGATTTGTGCTCAGAAAGGCACTCAGCCCTGCACCAGGCTGGGTCACTTGGGCTACTGCTGAGCTCCATTCAGGAGAGATCTGCATTTGAACAGAACCCTCCCTTTTTCCTCTGCACTAAGCCCATCGTGGCTGGGTGACCTGGGCAGGCCTTTTTTCCTCTCAGAGACTCTGTTGTCTTATCAAGATGAGAAGGTTGGAGTCTCTTTCAAAGGGCCCTTTGAATCTCTGCCTGCCTGTGCTCCTCTGATTCTCTCCATATTGAAATGCTGACATTCCAGATTCAGAACAGACTTCAGAGGATGGAGAGATCCAAAGTGCAGGGCGAGTGATTCAGGAGCCTGCAACACAAAAGCATTCATTCAGGAAGAATTTCTGAGCGCCTTGAGTGTGCAGGACACTGGTCTGAGCCTGACCATACAATGAATAGGGCGGACAAGGTCCCTGTCCATTCAAGGCTCAGAGCCATGGCTTAGAGCTAAGGCTCTGGGCTCACACATCTTGAGTTTAAGTCCTGGCTCTGGCGCTTTCTAGCTGTAAGACTTACGGCAAGTTAAACTCCCTGGGCCTCGTGACCTTGTGGGTAAAATGAGGTGAGGAATAGCACTGGCCTTCCCTTGGCTTGGGTGGCCCAGTTGGTTGGAATTTTGTCCTGCACACCCAAAAGTTGGGGGTTTGATTCTCAGGACATATAACCTAGGTTATGGGGTTGATCCCTGGTTGGGGCACTTATTGGAGGCAACTGATCCATGTTTCTCTCAAATCAATAAAAAAATATATCCTTGAATGAGGATTAAAAATAACACAAAAATAATACCAGCCTTACAGGGGTTAGGCCTATGGGTTAGATGAGATGGTACAGGCAGTGCCTGACACATGGTCCACAGTATAAAACGTGAACTGTACTTCTTATGAGGGCCAAATAGGGGTGCTGAGAGTAGACAAAGATGAGCCGTGGGGTGGCCTGCAGGATCCGGTAGTCAAGGCAGGGCACCAGGGCTTCCTCTGCAAACCAGTGGCACCAAACCACTGGGCCTCCTGGGAACTCAGTGGAGATTCCCCCAGTGTTTAGCAGCCATAGGATGCTGGACAGGCCAGGAACGGGGTAGTTCCAGATGGATTTAGCAGATCCTAGACTTCATACTGGGCCTGTGAGAACCTTGAGGCAGGGGCCAGCTGAGGCTAATTTGTTTCCCTCAGTCCATGCAGAACTGGGCATGGAGATAATTGATAACAGCCTGGTGCCTGAATGAACAAACATCTCCATGGGTGGATGAGGGGCCCAAATCGGCACCCACAGAAAAGTCTGCCCAGTCTCCTTTGTGTGTACAGTAAACTTTGTGTGTACAGCAAAATTTGCCACTGTTACAGTCAAATGTCTTTTTGTTGTTGTTAATCTCACCCAGAATTTTTTCCATTGATTTTTAGAGAGTGGTGGTGATGGGGAGGGGGTCGGGGGGAGGAAACATTGATGTGAAAGAGATACATTGACTGTTCGCCTCACATATGTGTCCACTGGGGCCGGGAATTGAACCTGCAACCCAGGTACATCCTTTGACCAAGAATCAAACTTGTGACCCTTTGGTGTGTGTGTGTGTGTGGGGGGGGGGGGGGACGGGGACGGTGGCAAATATTGTAACCATTGAGCACACCATCGTCTTTATATTGGCTTTAGATTGATTTCAACATGCAGTTTAAAGTTCACAGAGCACTTGTATGTGCCTTCTCCCGGGAGCAGTGTGCAGCGGGTGGCTCAGCCTGTGCCCAGCCACGCAGCTCAGGAGGGAGGGCTCCTTTTGGATCTTTCAGTCCTCACTAGGAGGTATTTGCCTTCCACCAATGACCCTCTCCTCCCCTTACTCACCTGGCATCAAGGGCTCATCCTTGTCCAGAGACAGGAACCATCTGCTGACTTTGAGACGTAGACCATGGCGTCCTCGAAGCCTCACTGCCTCTCTTTTCCCCACAGTGGACTGGTTTCCTGTCTTCCGAGACCTGGTCGACATTGGCCTCAAGGCCTTTGCCTTCTGTGTGGCCACCTCACTGACCCTGCTGACCGTGGCTGCTGGCTGGCTCTTCTACCGGCCTCTGTGGGCCCTCTTCATCGCCTGTCTGGCCCTGGTGCCCATCATCATTGCTCGGACACGGGTGCCAGCCAAAAAGCTGGAGTGAAACAGGCCCTGGCACTCATTTGAGTTTCAGGATCCAGGTCTCCTCCAGCCCCCTCCTCTGACCCTGCTCCGCACCAGAGCACGAGTCCACACTGGTTTTAGGTTCTGCACCTGCTCCACTCTTCAAGGGGCCAGACTTGGCAGCATGCACTTACGTCGGGTTTGGTGTTCATCTGTTAACGTCTCTCCACCCCTTTCTTGCCAGTGAGCAGCTTTGATGGGCAGAAGGCAGCTCCTATCTGGCAGCATGACAGGCGTTCTCCCGCTTGTGTCCCCCTTCTCCTGGGACAGTGTGGCTGGGTCACATGCTTCATCCAGCCAGTGTCTTCAGAGACCGAGGTGACACTCAGAGACCTGCTGCCTTACCCGCTTCTGCCCCTGCTCCTTGGAGATGAGTCCAGGCTCTGCCACACCACTAGCCGCTCCCTTGATACTAAAGGGCCACCTTTATCAGCTGTCTAATCGGTGCTGTATTGCCAAGACAGACGAAGCCCATACATACCCTCCAAAGCAGGGACGCTATAAACCCAGTTTGTGGCTAGAACTAGATTTGGTACTTCAAAAAAGCAAACCTACTAGCTATGTCCTGAGGGAAATTGGACATTTGTTGGGCTTCACACTTTTTATGGTTTGGCAGAATCTTCTTGGTGTATAGTATCTCCAAAGGCTCTGAGTTTTTATTGCTTCACTTCATGTGAACTCTCCTACCCCGAGGGAGTTGTTAAAAATGAGATTTGAAAAGCAAAACAGAAAACCTCCTGAATGACTAATATTTCAGACTGTTACAGAAAAAGACACCCTTTAACCTGTTAGAGGTTAATTCAGAGCATAGGTGTTAAATGGGGCTGTGACTTATCTGGGTAAAAAGAAAGAAGTTACCATTGTCAGTATTCTGTGTCACTGGGAAGCTTTAAGATGCTTTTGAAATAAGTGTTACAAAATGATCTGTCTCCTCTCTGGGAGGAGGTGGGGAATATCTTCAAGGCAAAGCGTTTCCTTTTATCCTATAGCATCAGACACGTCCTGTGCACTTGAAGAGTTCTGAGCTTTTAGTCAACTATTAAAGGAAAAGATTGGGAGCTTTATTATCCTGCGCTCCTTCATATGACCCCATCAGAATCAAGCTCGGAGGCCTCAGGTTTGCTATAGATGTGAGTGCTCGTGCCGGCCTCACTCCTTTCATCATGGAGGACTTCTAATACAGCGGCCTGGCCTCCACGGCTGCTTCTGCTATTCATTTTATCTGTTAAGAGTCTGCCACTTTGTTCCTCCAAAATAAAATCTACCCACACTTAATCAACTTATTTCCCAACTACTCTCACCCCCTTTGAAAGATAAAGGTCCTAAAAAATTCTTTGTATAGCTTTTTACTTTATCTTTTACTACTTGGAAATTGTTCTACCTTGCTGGGAGTGGTTGCTTTAGCAAATAACTATCTGGTAGTTGAAAAGGGGTCAGAACTTCTGAAAATAGTGATCTAATATTATAGTCTCTCCTGTAGTCCTGGTATATCTGTTACAGATTCTTCATGGTAAAGACAGCTGTCCCCACAGATGGTTTATCTGGGGTTAAGGACTGAAATAGTTCACTGCAGTTCCATTGAACCTCTAAATCGGGTGGAGAATGTCCTGCCCACAGGCCATATAAGGCTTGAGAAATAATTTGGTCTGGCCCTGCCAAGGCATTAGGGGTGAGTTAATTAAATATTTGACCAAATTATAGCAGGATAATTTTTAAGTTGATAATTTTGTGTGGCCTGCAAATGATGTTATAAATATTCAAATGGCTCTTGGAAGAAAAAAAGTGTCCCACCCCTGCTTTAAATCCTCAAAGGATGCTTTTGGAAAATACAGTACAGTAAACCCTCGATTTAACGGACTTAAACTATTTAATGGACAAAATTTCCAGTCTGTATGTCAGGTGAAAATTAACACCCTCTCAATTAAAAAATGCTTTTAACCAAGCGTTGCTTACAATTAACAGGTTCTTTTGTTTTGTTTTGTTATTCACTGTTATTTTTTAATAAATCTTAGTGAACAGGCCTTATGCTAGAAAAAAAAACAAGTAATTTTGATTACATAAATATTACATATCTACAACTATGATCTACATATTTAAATCTAAGAATCACTGTTTGTAAACAATGTTTGGTGAATGATGAACACGTGATCACACCGCATGGAGCAGTAATTAGTTCTGTTGTCACACAGTGTCACTTTCTGCAGCAGTTTTAACGCCCAAGTAAGCCAATCCCATCTGTGGAGACTGGTGAATGTACACATTTACTAGATCTATTCAGTATAAATTTAAAATTATAGTAATACATGTAGGAAACTTCTGTGAAATTAAATTTTTCATATATACTTAAATTAAACTTGTCTACCTAAGAGAAAACAGGTAAACTAATTTGTCAATTTTTTAATATACTGTATTTTCTGGCCTATAAGACGACCCCCTAATTTTACAGTTAAAACATAGGTGTAGACCTATATTCAGTGTTCTAGTAAAAAGCCTGCTCAGATTGGCCAGAGTCAGAGAGGCGGTCTATTAAAAAAAGAACTGGTGTTGCCTCAGAAGTGGGGGGTAGTCTTATACAGCGAATATAGGCCTAAACCTGTGTTTTAACTGTAAAATTAGGGGGTCGTCTTATACGCTGGAAAACTCGGTATATATTAGGGAAACCTATTTTATTATATAAATGGGCTTTCAGCATTAATGAACACACCCTTGCCCAAATTAGTCCTTATATCGAGGTTTTACTGTATATACAAAATTTTTGGGATTTGATCTGTGTAAGTTTTCCTAGCATAAGATTTTACTGCCAATTTCAAGTGTTCTTTAGGAGCAAAATAATGTTAAGAAATATTTGATGCCTTGAAAAAAATCATGAAATTTTTATTCTTTGTATTTTTTATAGAAAAATCAAAATAAATTTCAAAATAACTTTTATAGGACATTGCCATTCCTTTTGTTGTTTCTGTATTCTTTCTGAAACTTCTATCTTAAAGAATTCAGCCGTAAGATTCAGTACATATATGATTTTTAGACTCAGTTCTAAGTTGTTTTTAGTGGTTAAAATATCTATATATATCTATATATATAGATATATATATATATTTTTTTTAAAGGGCAGCTCAATATTTTTAGCACTTAGAAGTCTTAAATATCAAAGCCTACTTTGTTTTGGATGCATTCAAAGTGAAAGATTCATATTTCATCCATCTTCAGAATTGTGCTAGAAGACAGGATGGAGCCACAGTCCAAAAGGCATCATTGGCTTTGGGTTGGCACAGACCTGAATTCCAGTCTCAAGTCTGCCACTGATTGGCTATGTGATGCTGGGAAAATCAATACTTTGAGCCTCAGTTCCCTCATCTATAAAATGGGAACAATGCCATTGTACCCCCACAAGTTTGCTGCGAGGAGTGACAGAAAGACCATGAAATGCCAAACATGTGACAACTTTTAATTCTTTTTGCCTCCTGTTCTGAAGCAATGGACTGCTGTTAATTATCCACCCTTAAGTTAACAATTTGAATAGTTTTTAGATATTACAAGATTTGAAGCAGGTGAGCGAAAACTTTCCAAGACCTATTCTTGTATTTCAAAACTGAAAGTTTTATTTGACTTCCATAGTGCCTCTTAGGAGCTGACCTCTGCCTGGAAAACAGGTTGGTCTGGGGAGACAGGATGATGCTCCACTGAATTCCCAGAAAGCAAGTCACTTACCTCTCTCTAGGAGAGGAAGGGGTCCGGTGCAGGAATAGTGAGGTTCTGCAGTTTCCATGGCAACCCACTTGTTTCTAAGCAAGTCTTCCTGCCAGGCTTTTTTTTTTTGCACATGAGTCATGCCTCAAGTGTTTTGTTTGTTTCCCTTGGATAAAACTGATTCAAATTTTTATTGGCTCCGGTCAAAGATTAAGTAATACCTCCTTGCTTAAACATAGAAAAAAAAATCCATGTATGTAAGCCCCCCAGTCTATAAGAAAACAGAACTTATCTTTAATGTAGTCTTGACATGTACAAATCATAGCATGTTTTCTTAGCTGATGCAAAATCTGAAAGAAAATGTAGAGCTGAGTCTTTTTAGATAAATGCTTTATTTTTTTCTCAAAATATTATTCGAAATACCTACAGTGCCATAGAGCTTTATAAAATTTATCCAGTAATGATTCTAGCCTTCGGCCATCATGAAATGTAACTTCGAAAAGTGGATCTCAACAATACCAGAATCTGAGTTGGCCTGTGCTCCCCATGCTATTATATAAAGAGGCAGCATTAGGCAGTATTAGTAAACCTGATTGAGGGAGAATGAGTGGCCTGCAGAGAGAGGGACTGAAGTCTGTAAGAGGCGAGAGCACCAGTGTCGGACAGATGAAGAATCTGGAAGAAAGGACTGGTCATTCCTAATGTACCATCATCCGAAAATTCCCCAGGGGTCTCTCTAAAAAACGGACTCATGTTTCAAAAGATGGGAAGAAGCTGGCTTAAGTGTACCAGGGTCTTCAGGGATGGTTCCATAGCTCAAAACATAGGGTGTGGGAGCAAGAAACTGTGAAGGCTCTATGCTGAGTGAATCAGAAGGACTGGGGCCACACTAGACCTGCAGCACCACCTCAATTTTTCCGGATCCTTGTCTGCAACCCATGCTGCTTGTTTGCCTTCTCCGTGGAGATACCATGGCCTCAAGGCCTGGGTAGGTGTCGGGCCCAAGGGCCAGATCCTGCCATGAGATGGCCACTCACATCATAACCTCTCAAACGGAAACAGGTGGGAAGCCTCCGCCTTTCCCCTTTTGGTTCTCTTTGGGCACTTCGGCTTCTGCTCTTCTTGAGCTTCCCGGTTCTGGGGCCAGGAGGCAGCCAGGATCTTGGCTGCTTCTGCTTTCGAGCTGGGTCCTTCCTCTTCATCAGAAGACAGCCCAGCTCCTGCTGGGTGGGGAGTTTCTGCTTCACTCTGCAGAGGTGGGGCAGTGCAGGGAAACATAGGCCATGGGTCAGT